TCGAATTTTGTAAAATTAAAATACCTAATGATTAAGTAACTTAAGGAAGTCTGGCGTATGAGAATATTTTTCTAGGATGTTGTGGATAAAGATAGGAACCATATTATGATTTTAAAAAGGAAGTCTGTCTGTTGAATAATTTGTTAGTTAATATAGCTTGTTTCGATTACTTGTTTTCCTGTGCATGGTATTGTTTTTGGCTTGTACTGTATTATAGTGTGTTAAGAAGAACTATCTTTATTATTGGTATGTCCTCTTTCTTAAATTCCTTGTATATCAGATTGCAGAAAGAAGAAAAGTAGTCTCTTCAATAAAAAGCAGCCTTGAAGATGCCAAAGGTACTTATGACAACGGAAATGGTAGCTTATCAAATGTTGATGTCCGTGGCATGGATAAAGACTATAATAGTACTTTACCTAGTACTGCTACTCCACCAATTGTTGATGACCTGAAAAATACACTGGCAGCTAGAAGCCAAGATTTTGTTGAAAGTAAAAGAGAAGTTAAAAGCGACCTGGCTCTGGAAATGCAGTCGAAACCCGGTACTCTGAAGACAGCTCAATCCGATGAAAGGGCTACCCCACTGTCAAGATCATCCGTCACACCCAGTCATCAGACTTCCTCTACAGTAAGTTCTGCCAAAAGAACATTATATGTCCCTCCAGAAACTCCAAAGTTCAGTCAAGAGACAGGCAAATTTTTCCAGTCTGATGTGCCTTCATTATTTAAAGAATCCTCAGCACAATCCTACATGGAACAGAAGAGTGAAATTTTTGAAGGATCAAGTGCTAAGAAGGCAAACATAGAGACTGAAGACCCTGAGAATGTAGACGTGAACCCGTAACCCCTACCTAGTCGACGAACGGAAACGTAGTTAGTTAGTAACGGTTAACGTTTTTAGGTTTTTGGGNGAATGGCCTCGGCCATGAAAGTTGGCCTCGGCTCTTGGCGGGGCTCACTAGGCCTCGCGCCTTCGGTTGCAATTCCTTTGCCAGTAATCAGTCGCCGCCTCTTTCTCTCCGGCGGTTCCTCTCCTTCGGAAGCCGCCTCCACTGGAGCGACTTCAGATACCGGCGCAGGAACGGTCTCAGGTGCCGTTATTGGTACGGCCTCAGGTATCTCCACGGAAGCAGCCTCAGGCACCGCCTCCGATGCAGCTACCGATGTAGCCCCTTGCTGAGGAGTCGAAAGGGGGCTATCTCTAGGCGAGCCGCCCACGAATATGTCTCCCCCATCGGAGTCGGACTCTACCCTAGACGGGCCAGCGTCGGTTTTCTTCTTCTTCGTCTTTGTAGAAACACCCCGACCTGCCAAACAAAAGCACATCGGGTAAAAAAGTCTCCAAGATGAAACAAAACGAAAAGAAACAGGGAAAGTTGTTACCAGTTGGGCCGTACAATCTGCGGAACTCAGCCCAAGTACGGCATCTCTCCGCATGCGGTATCAACCCCGCCACCCACGACCTAATGTCGTCAACGGGACGGGGTGAGCGAGCCACCACTACAAAAGAAAAGAAAGTCAAAGAGTGATGGTCAGTCAAAACAACGCGTCGCAAAATTACATGCAGAAATACGTACATCCTGCATTCCACATCTCTGGAAACCCTTCGGGATTGGACACCAGATGGCTCGTCCTAACGTAAAAGAATTTACGCCAGAACTCGCGGTTAGCTTTGTCGTCAGCCCTCACCACAAAGCTCTTCTTACCACGGCTCCTCAATTGAAGCATGGTACCCCTCATGTAACTGGGGCTGAACATCTGCAGCAGGTGGTGAACGGAAACGACGGTCCCGGCCTCACCCGCAAGCGTGGTAAGGATTCGACACACCTTCAGGACGTAAGGTGTAAGCTGAGCCGGGCATACATGATAGAAGCGACAAAGCTCTTCCGCTAGGGGGTTAAGCGGAAAGCTATATCCGATCCTAAGAGCGTACTCATAGAATGTGCAGAACCCGGGCCTATGCACATTGGCATAGTCCGTCCCGGCCAGAGCCATTTCAACATGGCCAGGAATGTTGTATCTAGTTCTAATGGCGTCCAGGTGAGACTGAAGCAACTCGCTATGCTCCTAGGGATAAGAGGGGCATGGCGTATTGAAATCTTTCCGGACACTCAAATCCTTCGGTAAAACATTATTTACCGTTAAAGGAACAAGGGTCTTCTCCACTTCTTCCCCTTCACCATCGGAAGGGGGCGGAACCCTAGAAGAAGCGCCGTCCTTAGTCCTTTTGCTTTCTTGACGGCGTTTTACCATGATACGATTTATAAGAATGAAGTGTTAGTAATGAGAGATACGATCCTCAGAAGTGGTATTTCTCTGAAAGCGATACAACTCTTGCAAGAAAAAAAGATGAAGAAACAAAGGGAAACTCTTTGAAGGTTCGAAAGATGAATCTTTTTGAACCACTCCTCCATTTATAGGAATGAGGCACACGGAAATCGAAGAGGCACAATTCTGAAACTGGCGCGGGAAGCCAAAACGTCACGTCATGTTCTGAACAGTCTCGGGAACCAAAATAATGATGACGCATGCGGCTGGTGACGTCACCTTAAAAAAGGGGGTCGCATGTCAACGGCCCAGTAAATATTATCCACGCTCACGCTCTTCGAAAGAGGCGCCTATGGGCGCGGCCAAATTTCCGTAAAAAGCAAATCGTGCATGTCCGTCCATTGAAGACGATCATCGAGTACGTCTCCAACGAACGGAGGGACTAACTGTATAGGGTTAAATTTGGCTCATAACGCCCCCACGCCAAATGGGCACGTCCCTTATAATAAGGGCGACCCGAGTGAGGGCACGACCCAAGTTGGCGAAGAAGAAGTGACGTCGTTTAGTGCCTGACCTTTTTACTGAGTAGAAGCCACCAACTTTTGTACCTTTTTGATTATTTCGAGGGAGGTCTCCTACTATATAAAGGAGACCTCCACATTGTAATATGGGGATTCTGATCGAATACAACTCTCTCATTTTCTGGCTCTCTCTCTCTATCTCTACCTCAAACGAACATATCTTATTGAGTTCATATTATCACTTTGCAATACTAGATCTACAACAATAATATCATCTTTGTATCTCTAGGTTTATTATATTTGATTACGATTTACCCTTTTCTTACTTTTGATTGTTTTCTAGCTTACAAAGTATATTGTTAACTTTTGAGCCAAACAACTATCAAGGTTTTCGACCCTTAACTAAATAAAAGAATTTATTTTGGAAAAGACCCTATATGAAAAGTACACATAAGAGAAAATGTTATCCTTCACTAAATTTGAGAAAGTAAAGCAAAAAAGTTTGCCCAAAAAGTAATCACTATCGGAAGACAAAATGGATAAATCGATCATTGGAAAATAAAGGTAAAGCATAATCATAGCTTAACTAAAAGTGGGACTCGTAAAGTTCTATTTTCCCACCCAATTCAACAAATTAGTAACTTTTTATTTCGAAGAAAAGTGCACTACACTTTTAATTTTCTTTCTTTGATTTTTTTTTTCTCCACAATAGCTTGTCATCTTTTCTTTCATCTCCTTAGACAGGTCTTTTTTGTTCTTTCTTTCAAGGCCCCGAACAAAAACAGGATACTATAGGTTATTTCAGTAAATCAATGCACAGCTGAAGCTTCCACACCTTTTAATACTTGCAACATGTAAAATGAGAAATACTGAGTACTGGCATAGTGATAGAGATTTTCCTATTAAATCACTCAAGGAATGGCCCACCCCACCCCACCCAAGAGCGCTTATGCCATAGGGGAAGTGGGGAACTCATGGCCGAAAATAATCCTTATGGTTTGTTTCGATATCCGGTAGGAATAATTTAAAAAAAAAAAGTCCATGACTTCCTCATGTGCCTAAGAAGCCGAGGCAATCTCGATTGAAGCCAATTCAATATTTTCCTACTCAATTTACTTTATAGAAATAGCACTCGATCAAAGGGAAGCATACGCAAGTTCAATGGTAGAAACCTTTGTAATCGATTGATGGGAACTTCGAAGCTGTATATAATCATTTATAACAAAGATACAAATAATTGAAAATTGATAAAAACTTATTCATACTAGTATTTACATAAAATCAATATCATTTTACAATGGCTAAGCAATTTAATAAGCTAAGAATATATATTAATTAATTACTTATAATTTAATGATAAAATATGAAGATAATTATATATCATGCATCTTTACAATCATTTAACTCAAAAAAAAAAAAAATTGGCAATCGATCTGTAATGGATGTTGGCCGCTGGATATTGGACCGTCCAATGTTGTTTTCTCAAAAACACATTCAATAGCTAGTAGAGTGACAAAGCCATAAATAACACGTGATATTCCCAATACCATAAATTCAACAAAAGGCCCCAACTAAAACTACATCGACCAGAACTTAAGTTAGCGTTTGGTTATATATCTCAAATTTATTTTGAAAAATTTGATTTTGATGAAGTTTTGTTCAAAGATGAAAATGTGTTTGAACATACGTTTTTAAAATATATTTTTCAACTTTATTTTGAAAAAATATGTATATAATTCCCAAGTTTGAGATTTTGGTTCAAAATCAGCTCAATAGATAATTTTAGGATTTGAAATTTGGGATTTAGGATTTGGTCAAAATATAAGCAAAATTTATGGCCAAAGATGACTTTTTAACTTAGCCAAGTTTCTGGCTTTTTATCTGAGCTTGCGATTCTCACTGAATCTGAACCTCACACAATTCCCCTCATGATTTTTGCTTTGTTGGGTCCCATATATACACCTAATCTTTCAAATAGTGACTTCCATTGTCGTTAATTCTTGATTTCTCTGTACTTTTCATTTATCTCAATTGGGTTTTCTTTATTTATCAATTATCTCAACTGGGTCGACTCCTATTTCCACTAGATCACTCTGGTTCTTGAAATCTTGAATTAATTTCCCTTCACTGTAATGGAAAATTGCACTCTTCTTCATAGTGGAAATCAATTCCAGCCCAAGTTTCCCTTTTTTGCACTTAAGCCCAAAAAGTTTCCTTTTTTTGTAGTTGGGTGTTCAAGAGTTTTGGGTGAAGATATAGTCAGGTTGTCTGTAGCTCATGGCTCCAGCAGAGAGCAAATGTGGAGAATTAAAGCCACAGGCAAAAGCTCTGGGGAAGCTGCAAATGCAGATGATGAATCGGATGATGCTTTACAGGCTACTATTGAAAAGAGCAAAAAGGTGTTAGCCATGCAAAAGGACCTACTTCAACAGGTAGTAATTCTTTAGTATTCAATCATAAAGTGAAATGTTTTTCTTTGCTTCTTTTTGTAATTTATAAGATAAAGGAGAAGTGAAGGAATAAAGGATAGCGCTAGTACTTATTTTAGGGCCTTTGACCCTAGTGATCCAATGCTTTTTACTTCTTTTTTTTTTTTTTCATTTTTTCTTCCTATTCTTGCTCTCGAGCCAAGGGTCTTTAGGAAATAGAATAGCGGTAAGTTTGGGTACACATTACACTCCCCAGACCCCACTTGTGGCATCCCACTGGGTTGGTGTTGTTGTTGCTTTTTCTTTTTTTCTCAAATGGGGATAGATATGATATAGTATGTCACAGCAGAAATAAAAATCAACCATTCAGCAATTGCCAGCCATATGCTAATGAATAATACAAATTCTGTTTTAGGATGTTGGACAGGTTTCATTCTTCTGTAAATGAAATAATCATCTCTTAGTTTGAAGTATGTCAATTTTGAAAATAAATCCATGATTAAGTAACTTAAGGATCTGGCTATGAGAATATTTTTCAGGATGTTGTGGATAAAGATAGGAACCATATTATGATTTTAAAAAGGAAGTCTGTCTGTTGAATAATTTGTTAGTTAATATAGCTTGTTTCGATTACTTGTTTTCCTGTGCATGGTATTGTTTTTGGCTTGTACTGTATTATAGTGTGTTAAGAAGAACTATCTTTATTATTGGTATGTCCTCTTTCTTAAATTCCTTGTATATCAGATTGCAGAAAGAAGAAAAGTAGTCTCTTCAATAAAAAGCAGCCTTGAAGATGCCAAAGGTACTTATGACAACGGAAATGGTAGCTTATCAAATGTTGATGTCCGTGGCATGGATAAAGACTATAATAGTACTTTACCTAGTACTGCTACTCCACCAATTGTTGATGACCTGAAAAATACACTGGCAGCAGAAGCCAAGATTTGTGAAGTAAAGAGAAGTTAAAGCGACCTGGCTCTGGAAATGCAGTCGAAACCCGGTACTCTGAAGACAGCTCAATCCGATGAAAGGGCTACCCCACTGTCAAGATCATCCGTCACACCCAGTCATCAGACTTCCTCTACAGTAAGTTCTGCCAAAAGAACATTATATGTCCCTCCAGAAACTCCAAAGTTCAGTCAAGAGACAGGCAAATTTTTCCAGTCTGATGTGCCTTCATTATTTAAAGAATCCTCAGCACAATCCTACATGGAACAGAAGAGTGAAATTTTTGAAGGATCAAGTGCTAAGAAGGCAAACATAGAGACTGAAGACCCTGAGAATGTAGATGAGAAACCCCCTCCATTGGCAGGAACGAATGTTATGAACGTTATTTTGGTTGCTGCAGAATGCGCTCCATGGTCTAAAACAGGTATCTTTTACACTAAATATGTATCTTTTGTCCAGGAACAAATGTGTAAGTTGGTGCATTATCCAAACTTGCTCTTGAAGTTTCTATGAAAGGTTATATTCTAGTTCAGTTTATGATACTTCAAATTCATAGGAACTGCAAAAGAGTAAGACTAGAATTAAGATATTCATAATGAAGTGCTTGTTGTTTCTTTTCACCAACTTAATTATAGTATTAATGAAGTTTCCAGTTTTCCATCATCTCTAGAATAAACTGGATAAATAATTAGTTTAAGAATTAACATATTGCCTATCAAAATAATTGTTTGACATATTCTTAGTCACGTGAAATGAGACAAATAACGAAATGAAAATCCATCACTGATTGTCCAAAGTGAGATGGTAAGGTGAATATCAAATGAAGAGGAATCTATATGTATTTTTCCTTTTCCACTATTGTCGTTTTGTCCTCTTCTGGATGGTTGCGGATGGACGGAGGATTTGTTGGTTCGTCTAACTTGTATATCCTCCGGTCTTATAGCGTGTTTGACCAAGCTTCTCCCAGAGCCAAAAGTGCTTTTTTTCCTCAACTTGAGGTGTTTGGCCAAGCTTTTTGGGGGAGAAAAAGTGCTTTTGGGTAGAAGCAGAAGCAATTTTTGAGAAGCAGGAAAAAGGAGCTTCTCCCCGGAAGCAGAAGCAATTTGAATTTTCTTCTTACCAAAAATACCCTTAGCAAAATATTATATATACCAAAATAACCTTACTTAGTTTGAACTTTTAAATAATAAATAATGACTTTTGGGTGAACTTTCATATTTATTGAATGATTTTTTGATATATTTAAATCATCTTGAAAGAATAAAATACTTTCCAATCTTATTTTTACATTTTACATAAAAAAAAACCTTAATTATTGTCTTTAATAATAAATATTTGTGATTATTTATCTACTTATATAATATTAACTATAGTATTAAGTAAATCTCTTCATGTCCTTATTCGTAATTAGATACTTAAAAGCACTTTTTAAAAAGCTTGACCAAACACAAATTATTGCTCAAAAGTGCTTTTCAAATTGATTAGCCAAATACAAACTGTTTTTCTCCAAAAGTACTTTTTCCAGAAACACTTCTCAAAATAAGCTGATTTTTATAGCTTGACCAAACAAGCTATTAGTTCTGTGCATATACAGATATTCATGATTTGTACACATATTTTGCACTTTCATGTTGCATGATTTTATTGTATTTATGCATCTAGATACATATCAGTGCAAGCGTATCTTTTACTTGTGAAGACTTTTTTAGGTGGGCTTGGAGATGTAGCTGGAGCATTACCCAAGGCTTTGGCTCGACGTGGCCACAGAGTTATGGTAACTAGTTTAATTCTTCACATTTTAATTTCCGTGTGCATAAGGAACCATGTTTCAAGCAGAATGTACACAGAAAAATTCTGTCTATGAAGTATCAGTATGTTTCACAAAAAAGTCACTGAATGTTCTGCATGAGGTGTTATATTCTCTATCCATAATCTTTCTAACCATTGGACAAGTTTGTCTATGATATAAATTCACAAAGTTTTCAAAACATATGCTGTCTATCCAGATTATCAAGACCAGATAAACCACTTGAAAGATCGCATCATATAATTAAAATCTTGTTACAATATTTTCTTTGTTTGACACATCAAACTGCCAAAAACGCTATAGATTGTTTAGTTCTTCCAATTTTGCCCTTTCATTCCAAGATGCATAGATGTAATGTTATTTGACGATGGAGTTTTCTTTTTCTCCCCATTTCCCTGAAACTTAGGTTGTGGCACCTCGTTATGGCAACTATGCTGAACCTCAAGATTCTGGTGTAAGAAAAATTTATAAAGTTGATGGTCAGGTATGTTTGACTGCATTAATAAGACTAGCTTTTAACTTGTGCTTGTGATTTTAGCGCCGTGACTATCCATATCTAAGGATTTAATTTTTAAACTGTGCAGGATGTAGAAGTGACTTACTTCCAAGCCTTTATTGATGGTGTGGATTTTGTTTTCATTGACAGTCACATGTTTCGGCACATGGAGAACAACATTTACGGAGGGAACCGTGTGGTATACCCTCCCTGCCCCCACTTTTCCACTGAGTTTTTAGCTTCATCCTAATCCCCAAATTTCTGACTCCTAGATTTACTGTGAAGTCTCTGTTATTGAGTCCTCTAAATGATTGGCTGACATAATGTTTTCCCTTGTCACCAAAAGCTGGGCCTTATGTGATTGGGATGTCTTAGATGGTTGTATCTTCACCTTTCCTTTCTCTTTCTGGGTGGGGGATTTCAAGAAAGAGTGGTTTTTTTTATGTGTTTAATACTATATTCTCTACAAACTCGGAGATTCTGATAAGAATCGGTTTGCTGAGCACTGATCTTGACTTTCAGCTACCTTCTTCGTTTCAATATATTGATGTAGCAGTCTTAATGTCGTATTTGATATGTTTATTACAAAGTCCTTTTTCATAAATAGTTTTGGTTCATACCTATCTTTTAACTTCTTATTTTTCCCTTCCTGTTGCAGGATATTTTAAAGCGCATGGTTTTATTTTGCAAAGCAGCTATTGAGGTATGAATGCCAGTAAAAAAGACACTGCTTCCACCTTTGTCGCTGACATTCAAAATAAACCTAGCCATGCTGTTTGAGCACGATTTATCCATGTTTACCCCCCTCCCTCTTCTGCCATAATATTTTAGCCTATTAGTGTTCCTAAGATTTTAAAATACATTTTTTGATGATATTCTAACATGGCTAATTTGCAATTTCAGGTTCCTTGGCATGTGCCATGTGGTGGGGTCTGCTATGGAGATGGAAATTTAGTGTTTATTGCTAATGATTGGCATGCTGCTTTATTGCCAGTTTATCTGAAAGCTTATTATCGTGACAATGGAATGATGAAATATACAAGATCTCTCCTGGTCATTCATAACATAGCTCACCAGGTCAGTTTCATTAGCAACTATAGCAGTTTTCTAGTCCACCTGTGCATTTTTATTTGCAACAATTGAACAGTACAGCCAATTTTATGTTCCAATGGAGATTGGTCTTAAATCAGGATTTCTACGACTACTAATGCATAGGGTTAAATAAATTATTACTTTGATAGAAGGTAGAGGGGTGGGCCCATTATCCATCGAGTTTCGAACTGTTCACCAGCTAGCTCTCCGGGTTTTCTCGGTTATCAAAAAATAAATAAAATAAATGACTACGTTGATATTGTACATATACTAGGTGCTCCTGAGACATAATTAATATTTTTGTGTCACCAAGTTCCATTAGCTTAGTACCACTGGGAGTACCATACCCAGTGAATTTATTTACAGGTAGCAATTTTTCTCATGCAAAGAACAATCCTTAGACTTGTATAGCAGTGTTGCCTGATATGTGAAACTTGTTGAAAAGTTTTGCTCTGGGCATGACCAAGACAATTGATGCTTTTGTTGGTGGGGCTTTATCTAGAAGCTAATTGATACGGAAAGAGAAGAGCCCTAAAATTTGATACAGGGGAAGGAGCCCGGATTATGCTTCATTCATAATGATCTATAACAATATGATATCAACCAAGCGAAGAACAATGGAAAGTTCTTAAAGAAGTTTCCAAATTATATGTCGTACTTGACATTTTATATTAACCAAGTACAATTCTACCTTTTTCCCATGTGTTTTACAATTTTTGGTAGATTATTACTTTAAGTTTGATATGAAGAGTGTAAAATAAAGGTTTGAAATGTAAAAGAGTAGAGTAGTTGGAGTACTCTCTTCCCAAATTCTGCAATTGTTAGTATTTCTGATTTGAGTAATTTACTTTTCTTTCAGTAAAGTAAATAAGGGTTATAGCAATCTTAGCCAGCTATTTTTTTCATCTCTATAATTTATTCCATTGCGTGCAGGGTCGTGGTCCTTTGGATGATTTTTCATATGTAGATCTGCCACCACACTACATGGACATTTTCAGGTTGTATGACCCAGTAGGAGGTGAGCATTTCAACATTTTTGCAGCTGGTCTAAAGACAGCGGATCGTGTAGTTACAGTTAGTCATGGATATTCATGGGAACTAAAAACTTCCGAAGGTGGCTGGGGATTGCACGATATAATTAATGAGAATGATTGGAAATTCCGGGGTATTGTAAATGGGATTGATACAAAAGAGTGGAACCCTGAGTTGGACGTTCACTTAAAGTCAGATGGTTACGTAAACTATTCCCTGGACACACTGAAGACTGGCAAGCCTCAATGTAAATCTGCATTGCAAAAGGAACTTGGTTTACCAGTTCGTGACGATGTCCCACTGATCGGTTTCATCGGGAGGCTTGACCCCCAAAAAGGCGTTGATCTGATAGCCGAGGCAGTGCCTTGGATGATGGGTCAGGATGTACAACTGGTCATGTTGGGGACGGGCAGGCCTGACCTTGAACAGATGCTAAGGCAATTTGAGTGCCAATACAATGATAAAATTAGGGGATGGGTTGGTTTCTCCGTGAAGACAGCTCATCGTATTACTGCTGGTGCAGACATTCTGCTCATGCCTTCTAGATTTGAGCCTTGTGGACTGAACCAGCTTTATGCTATGAAATATGGGACTATTCCGGTTGTTCATGCTGTAGGAGGACTCAGAGATACTGTGCAGCCTTTTGATCCTTTTAATGAGTCAGGATTAGGATGGACCTTCAGTAGGGCTGAAGCTAACCAGCTGATCCATGCGTTAGGAAATTGCTTACTGACTTATCGCGAGTACAAACAGAGTTGGGAGGGGCTTCAGAGACGCGGTATGACACAAGACCTAAGTTGGGATAATGCTGCTCATAACTATGAGGAAGTTCTTGTTGCTGCTAAGTATCAGTGGTGAGGCTCATTACGCGTCTGTATATGTCAACAACTTGTGGCCATACAATGAAGGTGTTTCAGCTCTTCCCTAAAGGGTCCAAATATTGAGTTTTGCTGGGTATATCGCATTGCTCCAATTGTGCTTACCCAAGATAAGTTCAAAAACCTTGTCTTTCTCAAGTGACTGAAAGCCCTATTTCTGGTCATGAAACGAGAGGATGCAACATGTTGGCTACTTCACGTATGGTGGTCATATATATCATCATGTATATATTCTTTACAGTTACCAAGATTTAGTTGTATGTAGCCAATCTCTACTCTTTTTTTGTCGAAAGTGTTAAGGAATCAGCTAGTGTTAGATATCATGCATAAAATCAGTGACCAGTGACCCTAATTTTTTCTGAAGCGAGTATATTAGGCTCCTAACATTCTGGAAAATTTTATTTTGTGTCTCATACAACTTACACTAGTTGTATGAGGCAACTTTTTGTCTCACAGTTTTGTGGACCCAGAATTCTGTGGACCCAGCAATGTAAGATTGGGGTCCACAATTTTGTGAGACAAAAAGGAGCCTCATACAAAAAGTGTCAGTTGTATGAGACACAATAAAACTTCTCGTTTCTTCACCATTTAATACTGCTCCCAAGGAGGTCAATCATAAGTCGGAATCTATTGTAAGGGACTCCCTCTCTTCTTGAAAAGATTGACAATTGAGAGAGGACGATAGGAAGGACTGAAAATAGATTAAAATTCTACTTTTGTCGTATTAATTTGCTGTGATCATCTGGCTATCAGCCACAAAAGTTGTTATGTCAAAACTTCCAGCAATGATGATATACACGGTCGATCTCCTTGTCAAGCAGTTAGCTGTTTAATTGGGTGCCTAGTGATTCAGATTTAAAGACCAGATAGAACTCCTTAGATTTGCTGACCAGAAACTTCAAATGTTCGGACACAAGCACACAATCACTTGAAAGAAAGCACAAAGCCTTGCACTAAGAACATAGCTGTAATTGACACCAGCGCTTCTCCCGAGCAATACCAGGAGAACAATAATAATAGTAATAGTAAAGTTCAAATATCTAATCCGCATGTCGTACTTCCCCTAATGACACTGACCAATCCTGGTAATCGATCTATGGGCGCAAGTCCAAGGATGCTGGTTTCTGACGCTCCTCTGTTGCTAACCCTAGATAACAAACTGATAGATCCCTGGTTCTACTTCACTTCAAGCTAACACTTGCAGCTACTCGCATGCTTGTCTGCATACTTGCAATCATATCCGCTGATCAGCCGTGTGAAATAGAAGTCAGGGAGATGATTCTGATGACCATTAACAGACCCCTTCCAGATCACCACAAATTCTGCTATGAAACGCATATAATTAGATACCCGAGAACAGATATTAACACGTCCAAAACTAATTGAACAAGAAAAAAATGTTAGACCACACTGCTTTATGTTATATTGCTGTAATGAACAAGTTATAACTATTACTACTACACCTCAATCCCAAGCACATGGGGGTCGGCTATATGAATCGTCATCATTTATGTCGCTCCATTTAAGCTTGCAGTAATGAACAATTACACACCCAAAAAATAACAAAACATGATACCACAAGTACCTGTCAGATAACACACCTATGTATAGGAGACTCTCCTTTCTTCATCAAACTGCAAACGCGAAGGACTTGAGAAGAGTCCCGCAAGACTCTTGGACAGACAACCTTCAACAGCGCATGGAGATGCAGAATGATTTAAGGGGTAGTTTGGTTTAACCGTTTCCAAGCAACCATGTGATTGGTTGTCAGTCCAGTGAAAACTTTGGTTGCCAAATTTAATGTGCCTCCTCTTGGAATTGACAATCACATCCATGACAGGATATCCGTCATATGATTCTTCTCCTCTTTGCAAATTGCCACAAGATTTCCTCTTCAAACCAGGAAAAGCTTTCAATCCTGCACCAAAAACAACACAAACATGGAATTATCTAAAAGATAATTCAGTGTTATCCAAGAAACTTTTTTCAGCAGCAATTACCAGGGAAAGAATCCTCAAATGGCTGGGCTCCTGAATCGCCACAGCTACAGAATGAGTTAGAAATAGTATCGACTCCTCCAATCCTGCATAGCAAAGCTGCCTCGTCAAATCTAGTAAAAAATGAAGTACAAACTGTTGATGACCTCAGAAAGTACATTGGGTCGGTACAGAATGCAAAAGCAAGGCCAAGGTTTCTCTATCAGTTTATGCTGCGGTCTGAACCTAAATCTAGACATATCCTCAGTGAAAGAGAAAATAGATCATGCAATCAATCACCTCAGTTAGTCCCCAGAATTTCTTGATACCTTGTCTAAAAGATGAATATTTTAATGATACATGTGATTGATAAAGATCAATCTCCTGAATCATATAATACCAAGCTTATACTCTCTAAGCATAAGCAATAGGGGGTAATTGCATCTCTAAAAATCACACATGTCATACATGGAATAACCTCTTTGTGCCCCAAAAATGAAGAAAAGAGGAGAAGATGAATAAGGACAATTTAATCTAGACAACAGAAGCAGCAGCAGATGAGAATTCTGACTTCCACAAGGAAATTGGTTAATGGCCAACCTGTACATGTGCTCCACAAAGTCATCAATCAAAACTGGCCAAGCTCCTGCGGAGAATAACCCAAAAATTAAACAGAGTGGGTTTTTTAGTTAAGGAAGGGGAGGGGGAGCAAGGGGTAAGATCGAAGAGCAAATACATAAAAAAGGAAACTGGTATTCTAAACATCATCATCGTTCCATAATATCAATGAAGTCCAAATTCATTCCATACTGTATATCGTAAAGGACATAATTACTCAACAGAAAGAAAGACAAGACAAGTGAGGAAACAACTGAGGCAGTGGGAAGAAAATTAACCTTCTACTTTTGGAAGGTAAAAAATGTTTCTCCTTCGTACCCAGTTTATATGATAGTCAACTAATTTGTTTGAGAGACTGTAGATTGATTGAGATATCATATTAAACTTATAAGCAACAAAACTTATAAGTACGGCATCGAACTTTAAAAAATACTTCTTAAGTTCTTATAAATACCACATCGAACTATAAGGGTGATTTGGTAATACGAAACACCCATAATGCCAAATTAGTGGAATTTTTTCTAGTATAAAGACTTGAGATAAGCTCAGCAAGTAACCCGGCTTTTGTCCACTGGAGGACATGACGTCCTTCATACGCTCTCATTTTATCTAACGGACCACTGAAATTGCCGATCCACAGTTCTTTTGTGTTTCTAATATCCTATAGCTAGAGAATAACTCCTGCATTTGCAGTATTCCCAGATCACACAGATGCACTGCCCCAGAAACATAAGATAGGACCCCCTCAATGGAAGCCTTAAATTTGATACATAAGACTCCAATTAATAATGCTTCTTGGTCTTCCAGCCTAAATAAGATTTCATGATACTATAGGCTTAAGCTCATTCTGTTTCTTCAGCATCTTCAGTAACAGCTTATGGTTACTCATTATTAGAAAGTAAACAACAGGTGGATTACTACATCACAGAACGACATAGGCCATTTCCAGATTTCTCCGCTAAATATGCAGGACTTTCTATCACATTTCGCCACCATAAATACAGGAAGCTTCTTAATCACACGACAACACGACTCAAAGTTTAGAGGAAGCTTTTATGAAGCATATCCCGTACAAATTTATCTGGTGCATATATTCCCGCTTGACTTCTTTAGAAAATATCACCTAAATCCTCCAAAAGGACAGAAGCAGACAGGTGCATAGAGAATTAGTCTGCAAATTTGCATCAGCAAGAAGTAAAAATGCTAAATAACATGATTAAGATCATAATCATAAACAACAAATTGATTGGAAGTTCAGTTAATATAGAGTCGATAAACATATTTTTACTGGCGATATTTATTTTCAGGTATTAAGCATCAGCACATATTATGCGAGAAAAACACAGGATCTTCAGGAACCAAACTAAGCAATACGTCTCTATTAAGTATGAATAAGGGTCACATTGACAGGTTCTGGATGGTGATAAATGAAAAGCTGCAACTGCAAAAAATTAATACCTCCCCGATCATACCCTTCAAGATTTTCATGCACAGAACGGCTAAAGGCCAAAACTTGCTGCCAAGTATCCTCGGATATATTGTATCGCTGATTTTTCTGCGAATCGAGACGGTAAACAAGTCACTATATAGGAAATTTAGCAGTTCACAACATTCTGGAGTCACCCAACCATAAAGTAGAATATCATTCTTTGGGAAGTAAGGCACCACCCTGGAAGCTCCTTGAAGTTGACAAAGACAAGTTAAGTAATGCATAAAATTTTCAGGAATTGACTGTCAATCCCACTACTGTAGAAAAACCACAATGTCCCAACCAAAAACATAGATAAGAAAAAGAACACAATCATGAGGAAAGACAAAAAGAATAAATCCTCTATCAGATGGCAAAGTTTTTTTTTCTTTTCTTTTGCAAGGTATAAATTGTATTAATAATGGGAAAATCTCATCTATAACTCCGCCTGGTGTGAGCTTGCTCATATTGCCCGTCCCAAGCCAGAATAAAGGAGGATGGTTGCGGTAGACAAGCAGCCAACGTATAACTAGTCAATCTTACGAAAAAACCCTCACATGTTTGGCACAGAGGCGGTGTTGTTGTTGTTGTTGTTTGGAAAATCTCATGAATACAAGCCGTACAAAAAAAGGTAGAGAATTTATAACATAATATGATTCTCTACTAACAACATTTAACGCTATACACAAACAGGAATTTCATGGGTCCATAAAGAAACTAGGAATGAGAGGTTGTCCTCAAATATATAGACATTCTCTATCCCTTCAAAAGCGCTCATATTTCTCTCCTTCCATACGACCCACATGAGTGCTAATGGTGCGACATCCACGATCTACGACTTCTATTCATCAGATGACAAGACCTTTTGTTTGTATTACATTGACATTTAAGGCAAACTTTACAAACCAAACTAACTCTCTACTCAATTAATCTAAGAGAAGCCAAGATTCGAGCAAGCACATACCTATGTAATTGATGAATTTTTAATAATTTAAGGCATACAAACAGATGAACAATGCAACCGAACACATGATATGAGATCCATTAGCAGCACTGACACTTACCTCAACAAAGTTACACCAGTGGTCAAGTAGCCGAAACCTTCCAGCTAAAACTAATTTCCAGGCAGTAACAGCTTTGCTTATAGCTGAAAATATTTTTGAATGCAAAATAAGATTGACATGGAGCTAAATACACTGTAAAATGTTTAATGAAGAATGAGCAAGCTTGCTTGCAAGATCATTTACAAGTAATCAACTTACTGATGTTCTTTTGTCCATTTTCTCTGCAAATGAAGAAGACAAAATCATAGAAACGCGAGAACTCAGAGAAGTCAGCCTACAAAAGGAAATACAATGTAAGTCCTTTTGATGATTGAATTTTTTGTAATTAACGTTTTAAGGCTAACAGTAAAAGAGATGGACGTGGATGAATCATGAATATAGAACAGAGCCCATAACGTTCACCTCCCCCCAACCCAGTGCACACAAAAGAAGTAGAAAAGCAGGGAAATAATACCCCCCCCCCCCCCCCCTTCCCAACAAAAGCTCCTATATTAGTTAACAATATAAGATAGTTTCAAATGAAACATATTCAGTCATCATAACATCATCTAATCAACAAACCTCCAAATTTAACCGCAACATAAGCTTGTACACTTCTTCAAAGATAGCTGCCCTGCCATGGATGAAAACAGATTTCTCAATATTATCAACCTCATATGACCTATTTATCTACCCCCCACATAATGAAAGGTGATTTAAGACTAACACCACTAAGCAACATGATCACATAATTGGTAAATGTATTTGGCTTTCCAATATAAAATCGCACATATATGCCTACTCAAAAGAGAAGTGATATGAGAATTTCTTACTGCCGGCCAAAGTATCATTACTAATAGATTCAACCACAAATTTGCCCCGTTCAAGCAATTTGATCTTTCTTTTTTTTATGAACCACAGATTTGATTTGTTTATTAATGTTATTCTCTCAACCATTCAGCCTTGGAACCTTTGTTTTCGCAAGCCAGAAACCGCAATTGTCACCCACTGTCTTCACTTATCTGTAATTGCAATTACATGCTCCCCAGTATGTATAAATCTAAATCAGCAAAAGAAGGTTGAAGGACAGTATCTAGGCAATATATTTTCCCCTAAAAGTTTTATACTTTCAAATGCATCACGTCTAGAGAAGTCCCAACTATTCTTTGATATTAGTCAAGCCTTTGCAACTTTCATGGGCAGGTGATTTCAGGGGACAACAGAAAATTTCTCGTGTTAAGTTGAAATGCACTGGTGCAATTCTTGTATAGTAATGGACTTCTTGGGACTCGTTACATACATAAAGGATCCAAGTCCAGCAAACTCTTTAGCCATTACTCCTTCGTGCTGCAGTTATTCGTTAAAAAAAATTCTTTTTTTGCCGATAGTGAATAAATCTATTTTTACTTACAAAACAAATGAAAAACCGTATTTTTTTTTCTGTTCTTGAATGAAGACCCAAAAAATGCTGGTAGTTACATGTCCTACCGAATACATGCCTTATGTGCAAACTTGACTCCACGAACTTCATAAGCTGATTCAATGCCTCTCTTGAGAATCTCGCTTTCTGCAATTCGTCTTCTACGCTCCCAGCAGCATATGTTCCAGACATGATATCTGCAAAGGAAATCCCATCAGTAATCAGAGCAACTTAAGTTAAAAAACACCAATTAATTATATAAACCTGACCTATATTAATAAATTAAACCTAATCCAGATCAAAGACAAAAGTATGGCGCTTTACATAATTTCATGAATGAAATAGGACCGAATTACTGAATGGACATTAAGGATTCTTAAAGTCGACCCTGACTAATTTTGAAAAATATTACCAAATTCAGACATACATAAGATTCATCTCACAGTCTATTAATAGCACTAGACAAACTATAAATAGCAACAAAATTACGAAATGAAAATTAAAAGTAGAAAAAGGAGAAAGTTAATTAACCACAATATCGGCGATAAATATCGAAGATATCCAAGTGATTGACAGCGGGGGAGTCCATGATTATAGCAACAGACTGGTTTTGGGGTTCGCTCGAGGCTCTGAACCCTAACCTAAAGAGAACAACACAAGCTGAGATTCTCTCCAGTAGTGATAGTGTTATCCTTTTTCTCAGTTTTGCTTCTTTTGTATATTATAAACGCAACTTAGCTGCAAGGTTTAACGGTATACGAATATTCTGATACGAAATTTAGATTAAAATTTTACAGCCACACTCCGTCTTCAAGTTGAAGTCAAAACCATGAATACGTTGCTTCATTGGGTTTATTTACGTTTAAACCCAACAAAATATTCATTCTATTTAATGGAGTAACATAAACTATTGTCGCTCTTGGGGTTTCAAATGCCATTTTTCATTTCATTAAATCGGATTTTTTCAGAAAAGAAATATTAGTGTCAAACTAATAAATGCAAATATGTGACTTGTAAGTTGTATATACATATTTGTCACTTCTAATTATAGTTAAGTGATCGTATTTTCATTTTAGTTATTAATTGTTAAGGTAAATTGTTTAAGAAAGAAAGACATGTTTTTAGAATAAATATTTCAAAATACATATTTAAAATATCATTATTAGACATTTGATCGCTCTTGTAGTTTATTGAAAGTTGTAACATTCCAATAGTAGGCCAACAATATACATGGAAATGGTTCAAATTTATTCCAATACTATTCAAAATTGCTCAAAGTGATTCTTAGTTAATTTCTTTGTCCAATGAGGGACCACCAACTCTATCTAGGAAGTACGTCAAACTTATAATATTTTTCTTTATTTTTTAGCAATCCTTTATAGGTAGCGGAAACATATATATTTGGTCCATTTAAGTGTGCAAGCTTTTTGACAACATTCGAGAAGAATATTACATTTGGTGCATTGTTCCTTGCCGTTAACAAATCATCGTATACTTGTCCTGTTATTATTTAATGGAACTAGTGCGTGAAATGAAGCTTCCATATAGGGGTGGCAAAATGAAAACAGTTAACTATTCATATTATTCACTAAAAAGTAGGTTGAAAAATGAACTCTTTAAAAATGAGTCAAATATGAGTAAGAACCATATTATCCATTTAGAAAATGGATAACTAATGGGTTTAACTTTTACATTTGTAAAACCTCAAATTGAGGGTTCCTCAAGATTAGAAGATTAAGAATTCTCCCAAAAGTGATCATATTCAAGAAGTCATGGATAATATGGTTACCATATTATCCGCATATTAACCCGTTTTTTATCCGTATTAAATATGAATCGGGTCGGAGCTTATCCGTTTTTTCATTACCCAATTTTGACCCGTCCAATATCCGATCCGACTTGCCCGTTTACCAGCCCTACTTCCATGTATCAAAAAACTCTAAGGACAAAAGTCCAAATTTAGCCCTGCACTTAACTATAATATAAAATTGTCCTTCATTATTCCTCAATTGGGAGCTTCATTAAAATTGTACTATTTGGAATTGTACAAGATTTGACGCTTCTTCCTTATATATTTACTAGTAGTAATTAAAATTCCGTTAAAAGGTTCTAGTACTAGGAAATAAAAAGAGCATTATGCTAAAAATAAAGAAAACAGAGACGTTTAGAAGGTTCTCTAGTTACAGTCAAACCTCTCTATAATAGCATCCTTATATAACAACACTTCAGTGCTAAAAGTTTCTCCTACTACATGTTGGTTTAGAATTACTTATTACCAAATCCAACCAAAACTAGGTTCTTCATTATATCATACATTACACTATATATGCACAAAGGGCCCGCCTTCTCACGTTGCTTTACAATATACATACTTTGCTCTTCATTACGTATCTGCAACTATTGACTATGGCGACGCCGACGGTCACAGTAATTAGATCGGATTTATCAGGTGTCGATATATCAGATCAACGGCTTCGTCAGAATGGATTCATCAGAACTAGAATAATCGATGTGGTTCCGAGAAGATCATCACCGCCAAATTTCGAAGCCGCTGATCAGAATGAGAGGCCTTCACCACCAGCGACAAAGGCGTCAATAGAGGCACTGCCAATTATTCAAATTGTAGAAAATGAAGGAGAATGTGCTATTTGTTTGTTGGAGTTTCAAGTCGGGGGAAAAGCTAAAGAGATGCCATGTAAACATCGTTATCATTCCAATTGTATTAACAAGTGGTTGGAGATACATGGATCATGTCCAGTTTGTAGGTATAAGATGTTAAAGCTTCTGTATTAAAATATAAAATTAGAAAGATTGTTAGAAGAAAAAACTGGAACAACTGTAAGCTATAAGAAATATTCCGAGTCCACAATTTGCTTGTGCGTCCTTAAGAAATTTTAATCCCCTCACACGTTGTCAAGGTAATGGATTAAATCCTCCCAGGATGAAACGGAATAAACCTTCCTGCAACAGTGGCAATACAAACTGCAGGTATACCAACAAACTCAAAGAACGGAGCAAAATCACACTTACGAATTTAGAAGAGATTCTGCGAAAGAGAATGCAGGATTTTTAGAAGGAAAGAAGTTCTGTAATTTTTCAGTGAATGGAAAAAGAAGCCATGCCCCAGAATTTATAGGCAATTATCGGAAGAGATGTGATGTCTGTTCAGAAAAAAGTGTCTGTTCGGAGGGAAAATTCCGTTAAGCAACGTTCAGCAAAGGCTTGGCTTAATTCCATTAAGCAACGTTCAGCAAAGGCTTAATTCCGTTAATGAAATGACTGGAATTTAATTAATTATTAAATAATTAATTAAATAAATTTTGTCCAAAAAATAATCTTATCGATCATTTGACAAATCCAAATCCAAATCCAAATCCAAAGCCGAAGCCGAGCGAGCGACGACGACGGCGCGAGGGTTCATTCTCTTCAACTCCTTTTAAGAGCTCTAAGAAGTGATCCTATATATATACACACAAATGTAGTTGTCCCTCACCAATGAGGGACAAAGTTCATTTGACAAAGCTCACTTGATTCAAATTTTTCAAATTTTCATTTCCCTCCATTTTATTTCCCACCAATTCCCAATTCACACTTCTAGTCTTTAAAGCCCAATGGCTTAAAGTCCAACAATCCCCCACATGAATGGGAATGACTGTAACAAGAATGAACTTAGATGAAAGCTGTTGATTTGCAAGTAAGGATTAATTGCATCTGGATAAGTAGGTTTTCCTTTGAACTTTCCGTAGTGAGCATATGTCGGATATACTCGGTCAATCGGTAGATTTGATATCTTTGAACCGTCGAACTTTAGTGTATACCTAGACAACCATATGTCACACAACCAATCCTTGACCGTCTTTTGGTTCTCATTGTTGTGTTCGTTTCAGCCATGAACACCGCCTGGTTCCATAAGTGCGTAGAGAATTGGCCTTACAGAATTCTCGTTGAAGCAGCTTCCACTTCACACTTACATAGGTGATTCCTAAACGTGTAATCCTTTAGACTGACACTATTTGATAAATACCTCATCATACTTAGGTAATCATTAAAGAACGTGTAAAGTTCTATCCTTGTTACTGAACATTGTTTTCATCACGAGAAGGGACCAAAGATTTTACTTTGACAATGTTGAACCGGTCAATCACAACTTTGTTTGAGCTCCTTGAACCTAGATCTCGGAATATCAAAAATTCTAGGTAGAGTTACCGCCATGTTGACTTGTCCTCGGCCATCATCCCATTCCCTTAGATATTTCTCAACTCCCTCTCTAGTTAAGCCTTTTGTAAGCGGATCCGCCACATTATCCTTTGATCTTACATAATCAATAGTGATAATTTCACTAGAAAGTAGTTGCCTAACGGTGTTATGTCTTCGTCGTATATGACGAGATTTTACGTTATACATAACGCTCCCTGCCCGTCCTATTGTAGCCTCACTATCGCAATGTATGCATATAGGAGCCAAAGGTTTTGGCCAGAACGGAATGTCTTCTAAGAAATTTCGAAGCCATTCAGCTTCTTCACCGGCTTTATCCAAAGCTATAAACTCTGATTCCATTGTAGAGCGAGCGATGCACGTCTGTTTGGAAGACTTCCAAGATACTGCTCCTCCACCAACAGTAAAAACATATCCACTTGTGGACTTTGTTTCTGTTAAGCCGGTTATCCAATTTGCATCACTATATCCTTCGATAACCGCAGGATATTTATTGTAGTGCAAAGCGTAGTCTTGGGTATATTCCAAATATCCCAGAACTCGTTGCATTGCCACCCAGTGATGTTTGTTGGGATTACTTGTGAATCGACTAAGTTTACTTATTGCACAAGCTATATCAGGACGTGTACAGTTCATGATATACATTAAGCTTCCCAACACACGAGCATACTCCAATTGAGACATGCTTTCACCTTTATTCTTTATAAGATGATGGTTTAAGTCAATTGGAGTTCTTGCACTTCTAAATTCCAAGTGTTTGAATTTTTCAAGTACCATTTTCACGTAATGTGATTGAGACAAAGCTAGACCCTGAGGAGTCCTCTAGATTTTAATTCCTAGAATTAGATCGGCAACTCCTAAGTCTTTCATATCAAACTTACTAGCAAGCATACGCTTAGTAGCTTGAATGTCGGCAATGTCTTTGCTCATTATTAGCATATCATCAACATATAATCAAACAATGACTATATGATTTGGAACGTTCTTAATGTAAACACATTTATCACATTCATTAATCTTAAAGCCATTTGACAACATTGTTTGGTCAAATTTCGCATGCCATTGCTTGGGTGCTTGTTTTAGTCCATAAAGAGACTTAACAAGTCGACACACCTTCTTTTCTTTTCTTGGAACCACAAACCCTTCAGGTTGGTTCATGTAAATTTCTTCCTCTAGATCACCATTTAAGAAGGCTGTTTTTTACATCCATTTGATAGATTTGAAGACCATACAAGGCGGCCAACACTATTAGTATCCGAATGGATGTAATTCTTGTTACCGGCGAGTATGTGTCAAAATAGTCAAGACCTTCTCGCTGTCTATATCCTTTGACAACAAGTCTTGCCTTGTATTTGTCAATAGTACCATCGTCTTTCATTTTCTTCTTGAAAATCCATTTAGAACCCAATGTTTTGTTACATGGAGGAAGATCAACCAATTCCCAGGTATTGTTGCTCAATATGGATTCTATTTCACTATTGACAGCTTCTTTCCAATATTGTGCTTCTGAGGAAGACATTGCTTCCTTGAAGGTACGAGGCTCATTTTCTAGCAGGAAAGTCAGAAAATCTGGACCGAATGAAGTAGATGTCCGTTGACGTTTACTTCTTCTCGGATTTTCCTCATTAGGCATACCATCTATTATTTCCTCCCGAGGTCGTTTTGATTTTTGGTAGGTCAATTCACTTTCCTTTTTATACGGATAAATAGTTTCAAAGAATTCAGCATTATCTGATTCTATTATCGTATTAACGTGAATCTCAGGATTTTCTGATTTATGAACCAGAAAACGATATGCCTTGCTATTGGTTACATATCCAATAAATACACAATCAACCGTTTTTGGACCTATCTTAACCCTTTTAGGTTTAGGAACTTGTACCTTAGCTAAACACCCCCACACTTTGAAGTATTTCAAGCTGGGCTTCCTTCCTTTCCATTTTTCATAAGGAATGGACTGTGTTTTACTATGAGGTACACGGTTGATTATTCGGTTAGCTCTAAGTATAGCTTCCCCCCACAAGTTCTGTGGTAAACCAGAACTTATCAACAACGCATTCATCATCTCTTTCAACGTTCGATTCTTTCTCTCCGCAATTCCATTAGATTGTGGAGAGTAAGGGGCAGTTGTTTGGTGAATAATGTCATTTTCTAAACATATTTCTTCAAAAGGAGATTCATATTCGCCACCCCTATCACTTCTTATCATTTTGATCTTTTTGTTTAGTTGTGTTTCAACTTCACTCTTGTATTGCTTGAAAGCATCAATTGCCTCATCTTTACTATTAAGTAAATAGACATAGCAATATCTCGTGCTATCGTCAATAAAAGTAATAAAATACTTTTTCCCACCGCGAGATGGTGTTGACTTCATGTCGCAAATATCTGTGTGAATTAAGTCTAAAGGACTTGAATTCCTTTCAACGGACTTATAAGGATGCTTAGCATACTTTAATTCCACACATATTTGACATTTGGAATTAATGCAATCAAATTTTGGCAATACTTCTAAATTTATCATTTTCCGCAATGTTTTGAAGTTGATGTGACCTAAGCGTGCATGCCATAAAGTGTTTGACTCAAGTAAGTAAGAAGAAGCATTAACTTTATTGATAGGAACTCCTATTACATTTAGCTTAAAAAGGCCCTCATTCAGGTAACCTTTTCCTACATACACATCATTCTTACTTAGTAAGAATACATTTGAATCCATTCTTAACAAGAAGTGAGGTAGACACAAGATTCTTGCGAATTTCTGGAACATGGAGGACTTGGTTTAGAGTCACAATTTTTCCCGACGTCATCTTCAATGCAATCTTGCCAACTCCTTCAATTTTGGTTGTAGACGAATTTCCCATGAAAATTATTTCGTTGGGTCCTGCGGGGGCATAGGAAGAAAATAACTCCTTGTTAGCACAAACATGGCGGGTGGCCCCAGAATCAATCCACCATTCTTTAGGATTTCCTACCAAGTTGCATTCAGACAACATGGCACACAAGTCCTCCATTTCTTCAGCATTTTCAACCATGTTAGCTTGATTCTTCTTCTTCTTCTTATCATTCTTTAGTGCACGACAATCCACAACCTTATGCCCTGATTTTCCACAGTTGTGGCAATTACCCTTGAACTTTTTCTTGCTTGGGTAATTCTTTGGTCCAGAAGCCTTCTTTCTTTTCTTATTTTGTGGCGCCTCCTCAACAATGTTAGCCCTTATTATTGTCGAGTTTCCACGTGACTTCTTTTCAGTATTTTTGTTGTCTTCTTCTATCCTCAAACGAACAATCAAGTCTTCAAGTGTCATCTCCTTCCGTTTGTGTTTTAGATAGTTCTTAAAGTCCTTCCACAACGGAGGTAACTTCTCAATGAAAGCGGCGACTTGAAAGGCCTCATTTATGACCATACCTTCAATAATAAATTCATAATTAATAACAAGATAAATCTTATTAATAAAATTATTGATTCGGGTCATACCTTTAGCAAGGAGGTCATGCACAATGACTTGTAATTCTTGGACTTGAGTTATGACTGACCTAGTGTCAATCATCTTGAAATCCAAAAAACCTTGCAGCCACAAACTTCTTAAGTCCGGCATCCTCAGTCTTGTACTTTTTCTCAAGCGCATTCCATAACGCTTTTGAAGTTTCCATGACACCATAGACGTTGTACAAGCTATCTTCCAAACAACTCAAAATGTAGTTTTTGCACAAGAAATTAGAATGTTTCCATGCTTCAGTTACAACAAATCGTTCATCATCCGGAGTGTCTTCAGCCAGGACCGGAGGATCCTCCTTGATGAATCGCTGCAAACTCAACGTAGTAAGATAGAAGAGCATCTTCATTTGCCAACGTTTGAAGTCAATACCGAAAAACTTTCCGGGTTTTTCTGCCGGTGCCATAGCATGAGCAGGAGTTGAACTGCTTGACGAGGCAGCAACATTCGTAACAGTAGCACCCGTTCCCGCAACATTTCCATTAGTTTGGTTTTCATTCGTCATGTTTCTGTAGAGTTGGAAACAAAACAGAACTTTGTTAAATCAGTGAAGTTT